TTCTGTTTGACACTTCCTAACAATGCCATACCTGAGTTAAATTAACCCTAAAAACTAGAGGTCCTTTTGGAGTCAAGAAATTGAAGTTTCACAGTTGCCCAAGCTGGGTAATGGTATGTGTGACACAATGATAAGAGCTATCAAATGCTGAAGGCTTTCTAGATGAAAGGCCCTGGGTCAACCACTTTATGTACATTATATCTTACAATAATCCTACGAAGGAAGTGTCAGTTACAGTAAAACCTGTGAAAGCTGGAGCCTGTGTAAGGCAGAAACCTGTCTGAGAAGGAAAACTAAAATATTTTTCATTATAGAATGACAGAAAAATGACCATACCCTGTCAAAGGCGAAAAACTTGCAAGACCTAAAAAAACAAGGTAGTCCTGTCACGTTCTGGCTCTCGTAGGTTTTAATGTATAATTTTCATTTTACAGATGAAGAAAATGAAGTTTGGAGAAGTAAAATGACTTGCCATTGGTCATACAGCTTGTAAGTGGCAGAGCTGAGAGTTGAATCCAGGAGTGACTGCTCCAAAGTCCATGTCTTTGATCATTATATGATAGAATCTCCCAGCACTAGTCAAGAGACAGTTGATTACGTAGATAGCACAGTTCCTGGTCACCAGCTTTACGCTCTTGTGGGAAAGACAAGACCAGTACACAAAAAACAGAGACTAATACTATGGATTACTTGATTATGAAGGTTACTTTATACAACGTGATCAACAAATAAATATAAGTCCAGAAAAGGGAGTGTGGCCATTGCAAGGGAAGACTGTGAATCCCAAATCCTCACTGTCGAGCAAAGGAATGATCTCAGTTCCATGGGGTCCACCTGGGTAAGGAGAGGAATTCTGGGAGGATTTTAACAGAAATTTTGAAGGTGAAGATCTAGAATGGACAATGAAAAGAGAGAGGGAGCCTTTCAAAGAGCAAGAATGATGACAAGGCAAAGAAGCAAGGTTTGTGTGAAAGGGCTGGAAAGAAATCAATTCTGGAAATATCTAAGAGCGAGTCATTAAAGATGGAAGTCAGGCATGAATGAGCCTGCAAAGAAAATAGACAACAGAATTAGGAGGAAATAGCAAAGGTGGCAAATTCTGCTGGACTTGGGTTAAACCAGAGGAAACAAACTGCACTCCTGCTTTTTTGGGGTTAGTTTGTCTGTTTGTTTGCTTTCTGTCCTGTGTGGTGTTTTGTATGTGCTTTATTTTGGTTTTGCTGTTATTTCTTTGCTCATTTTAATGAGAGGCAGCATAGTTTAGTGATAAAGTGCACGGACTCTAGAGTCAGACAGCTTGGCTTTAAATTCTGACTCTGCCACTTACAAGGTGCGTGACTAGGCAAGTTACTTAATTTCTTTGTGCTTCATTTTCTTCATCCATAAAATGAGGTGTAGTAGATCCTACATCACAGGATTATTATAATAATGAAATACGTTATTATTTATTAAGTGCATCTAACAGTGCATACACATGGTAAGTGCTATTGATGTGTTTGTTATATAAATACAAACATAATTCATACCAGGAGCTCTGGTAGCATAGTGCCTAAGGCACTTGACTGCTAACCAGAAGACTGGTAGTTCAAACCCACCAGCCATTCCTTGGAAGGAAGATTGGGCAATCTATTTCAGTAGTGATACTGCCTCAGAAACCCAAGGAGGGGCTGCTATGAGTCGGGTCTGACTCAACAGCACATAACAACAATTCATCACCAACATGTACAAATATGGGAAAATTATAAAATTATTCTGCAAAAATCTTCCTCTTACAAAACTGTTAGAGAGTCACTGCTTAGAGGGTAATGAGCTTCCATTAAAAGTGATGGGAATTTTTAGAGCTGAGCTGACAAGGGGTGAGGTTGTGGTCACTGCTTGGTCACAGCCAGCTACCTAGAGGTAGTTGAACCTGCAGGCTTGGGACCATAGTCGCAGGGGACATCAAGCTCAATTGGCATAACATACTATAC